CTGAGCCGGGAATCCTGAGCTCAGGAAGCCAGCCTGCTCGTCCCCCCGGACTCGCTCGCCCAACCCCGCTGGAAGCCAGCCGTTCTTGCTCCGCTGCCCCAGGGTCCTGCTCCGCTCAGGCTGCACCGAGAGACGGTCCCCAGATAAACCCAGCACCACGGCCTTCCCGCCTGACCCAGGACCGCACCGGGCGCTGGACGCTGGCCGATCGCCGGCCGGGGACCTGCACCGCGGGAACACGAGAGCTCTCGGTTCCCGATTTCCCTCTGTCTGTTTCCCTCTGTTCCTGCTGGTCTCCAACAAGCCTTGAGCTTTAGGTGTTGGTTAGCGGAGGATATAAGGAGTAGGGGTGACTGTAGTCCAACTTTAAAGTTTCTCGCCTGGGTTTCAGCCAGATGGCATCCGCCGGAACCCGAAAAGTAAAAACGACCAGGACATGGGCGTGGCCAGAAAGCCCTAGCCAGCAGTAACCCCGAAGCCTGGGAAAAGGTCTGCCAGAAAGGAAAGAATTCCGGATCTAGGCAGATAACTGTCGGAGATTTGTGACAGAGGCAGAGGTTCTAGGCGGTACTAGAGGCTGTCCAGGAAAGATGAGAACAAAACTTCCGTATCCCCCACCCGCGGAGCTCCTGATCTCAGCTTTGTGAAATGGACGCTGTTTGAGTTTTTACATGTCCTGCAGAAGCAGAGACCTCAGGTTGCAAATGTGTACCCCGCTTGAAGAATAAGTTCATGAGGATTGAAAGAATCCATCTCAAACGTGGGGAACAATTGTGTAGACAAGGTTACAATTCTATGCTTCCCACAGGGAAGCAGTGCTTGTGAAACGTGATAAATTGCTGGGCCAGTGTGTTTTGTGACAAATTAAATTAGGAGAGAAATTAATATAATTGAAGACAGCTTTATCTAGCCAAAAGTAACTAACTGGGGGAAAATAGGTTTATACACATAACATGTGAGAGTTGTCCATTGGTAATTCTAGGACCTGGGGTGGGAATAGAAGACAAACACTACTGACTGAAGATTTGGGGGATCAAGTGGATACTGCATTTTTCAGTGTGTAGAAGGACTAATATTCCTCCTCACACTTAGTCATCCTACCTAAAATTTATTTTTAATTTTTTTACTGCTGCCAGTTACGATATACTTTAGGAGTCCTTCAACTTCTTCCATGACTATGCGTAATAGGCACAATTAGCTCCATAAGGTTTAGAGATCAGGTGTCCTACCCAGTTTCTGCTACCCAAATGGCATAGATGCAGGTGTGCTAACCTCAGCTGGGCACCATTTTGGGAAAAGACATTGGTAAAACACCCAAACTATAACTGGCCAGAACACTGAGGCCCAGAAAAGCTTAAAGATTTGAGAAATGTTGGAAGCTGAAGGCCTCGTTTTCACAGGTGGTTTGTCCAAAGCTTTAAATATGGGAGTTTTTCCAGTGATAAAGTTCATGACTTCTTCCAACACGGGTGCACTGATTGCAAAGCCTACTGGATTTTAAGCACAGTTGAGGGCTGGAGAGATGGCTCAGCCAGAAAGTGCTTACTGCAGCCGGGCGGTAGTGGTGCAGGATAATCCCAGCACTCCATGACTTCTTCCAACATGGGTGCACTGATTGCAAAGCCTACTGGATTTTAAGCACAGTTGAGGGCTGGAGAGATGGCTCAGCCAGAAAGTGCTTACTGCAGCCGGGCGGTAGTGGTGCAGGATAATCCCAGCACTCGAGGCAGAGGCAGATGGATCTCTGTGAGTTTGAGGCCAGCCTGGTCTACTGAGCTAGTTCCAGGACAGCTAGGGCTATTACACAGAGAAACCCTGTTCTGAAAAACTAAAAAAAAAAAGTGCTTAGTGCACAAGTATGGGTGACTAAATTCAATCCCCAGAACCCACCCCCACAAAAAAAGAAACATGATATAAACAGTGTATAAATAACCCAGTGCTAGAGACACAGAGACAGAATACCTGGGGTTTGTGTTTTTGGGCTAATGAGTCTAACCAAATTGAAAGCAACAGGTTCAGGGTCAGAACCTATCTGTCTCAAAAAGTAAAGTGTATGGGCTATGGATGATTAAGAGTGCAAACTGCTCCTCCAGATGACCTGAGTTCAATTCCCATCACTCAAGTAGGCTGACTCACAAACACCTGTAACTTCACACT